TTGTGCATACTAGAACCAACGTAAAGAAGAGGTTCTGGGTGAGCCTCAGGGAGCCTAGCCGACGAGTTCCAGGTCTCGTGAAGAAATATCGAGCACGGCCATTTTGTTTAGATGACTTTGATTTCAGCTCTGTACAAGTCTTTTTAATTCCCATCCCCGCCTATAGAGTTATTAACGCCAAAAACATATTATCAAGGCAATTCTTTGAAATCCCACGTGAAATTACGAGAGTGAGTAGGAGATTATCTCTCTGTAGATAGGGACATCGAGGAATTGGCGCTCAGCGACCTAATCTCCCGGGTTTTTTAAAATTCCGCTCAGACACATCAATAAGGTCCCTACTGACCCAGCTGGTGCGAGTTGAGCCACCGCTTACTCTATGACCCTATGAGAAAAGCTGGCCTGCCCAGTTATGGCGATCAGATCTTACGAAAATCCATTCTGACAGTGGAGCGTTCACGAACAAAGAAAGCCCTGGAAAACTGAATAGAGAATGACTTTAAAAACTCATCTATAGCAATGGATTTATGGTGCTCCTTTTTCGCTCAGCTCTGGCTGGAGCCGTTCATCTAATGTCAGTAGTTGCATAAAAATATTATTGGAGAATAGCCTTGCCCCTTACGTCTTCACATGGGAGACTGAAGTGTGTCAGAGCATTCGTGGAGGTGTGAAGATGCTTCTTTCTTGGATAAACTCTTGTCACTATGTAAAGCTGAAGATCGACTTATAGCGAATTGACAGCTGAAGGGGTGGAATGGGGGGGGGGAACTTTTGAGGGTGGGGAAGGACGGTAAACACTCTGAAACTAGGGCATGTAACACTTCTAACCTTGGAGAGGGGGTCCTTTTCACCTTTTGCATAGCGTGAACCTCATCACCAACTGTTTTCCACAATGAAATTCTCTGCCCCTCCCCTTTTAATGCTCTCAGCGCACTTACCTGTACCTTGTTCATGTGTCACGCCCACTACGATTTTTCAGTTGAGCAATTCTGTCACGACCTAAACTTTCGAAACAATCATCCCATTCAGAGCACCCGAATTCCACAAGAGGAAAACCCTTTTGTGGAATGCCTAGTGCGACACCTTCGGTGTCTCCTCCGAGCCTCTTCTGAGACCGTTATTTGGTCGCATTGGAGAGGGGGAGGTGCGACACTGAATAATCTGCCCCTGATCGATCATCCAGGGAATGATTGCCTCCACTGAGGGTTTTCAAACCTTCCCACTCTGGGAAGCGCTTTCGAACCAGTTGTCTCTCATAGCCCTCCCCCGATCTGAACGGATCTAATCTTTGACTCAACTCCGGCGCAGTTTCTCGAATGAAGCCAAGTATCAGTTGTGCGTATATGGCATAAGGGTGGAATGGAGCTAGGATGACGGGGGGTGGGCGGCGGTTATCAGGCGTCTTTGTGTGGAGCACTGAGTGACACATCATTTGCAAGCGAATCGGCTGTCATTTACACGTATGTATCGTAGCTCCTTAGTCAATCATCTGTCATGAACCTGCCCTGCCTGCTCCCTTCACTTGAGTTGGTCAGATAGACAGCCACGGCTGCGAACAAGACGGCGAGAGTGAAGTGAACGACGACGACGACGACACCTCCATGTTCACGCCCTCTTTCCCCTTTGGCGTCCGCCTCCGGCCAGATGTCCTCATTTGATCTTCATCGAGTCGCATTCAGTTTCCATTTCATTCAAACTTCCGTTCTTGCTTGTGCAAATAGACTAACGGCCGATCACTGACATTGTTGGGTCTTCCCTTTCTATTGGCAGCTTCTTATCGCATCACGGGGGGACCGACAGGAATGATGTCTGGGGCAGACTGTCAGTCTGGCTGAGACGTTCAAATACGACACATTCCGCCTTCATGACCGATGACGTGTCGCGACAATCAGACCTTTCTGTCCGCTTACATGCCAGTCCTCGACATATACCTATCACACAAATGTTTATGCGATTTTCTTCATTATCAGCTACTTTTGATCACAGGATGAGCTCTCACACACCTATCTTGCCGAGCTCTTAGGGCTTATATAAATGCTTGGACCAATTGTTGGTGCCCTATACCATCCCATTTCCTAGCTAAAACTATCCGCTGCTCTCTCTGACATCTCTTTTTGAGTGTCTCATCTTGCTAATGAGTCGATTTTTTGAGGGATGAGGAAAGAGTCAGGAAGTCCGAATCTCATAGGGCTTGGCTACAAGTTAAGGGTGTTTTAAGGGAAAAATCTCCCAGACTCATTTTGGTGAACAGATTTGCTATTTGATTATAGAAATGGATGCTACTCTACTGGACTTTTTGTCCCTTTCAAGACCTTAGCGCTTCATTTTGGCTTCAATGGTTAACGTGGGATATGTGACACACTTTTCATGGGACTGAGGACACTACTCAGAGTTATTTTTGAACACATTCTTCTGCAACCCCGCTTTACATGCCTTTTTCGAGCTCCTGGTGCTTCTTCGTAGCTGTGGGGTCTCTTTCAAATAGTGTTCGCTACAAATGTGCCCCTTTTTCCTCTTGATATACCCCTTTCACAAATACATCAAGGTCTAATGCATGAGTGTGTAGTTATTCTAGCCAGCCCATGCAACATATGTTCGAGGCCATAAGGTCTTATCTGATAGTTGAAACTGTCAAGCGGCTTACGACACCCGCCTTAGCCAACTTGTACGCTTCTGTTCTCAGAATATCACTTGAGGAGTCACCTAGCAACCTTTCTTTTACAGAAAGATACCAAAATTGCCACCTGATTGGGCGCCAAGCGTTCCTACAACTCGTTTTTCGGGTTAAATATCCTCTCAAAAATGTCCCTGTTTCTTGAAGGGTGGCGAACTTATGGCGTACTACAGAGTGTCACTACTTATTTGCTAGCTTTTACTAGCTTCTGCTGCTCTTAATTACTATTCGGATTAGTCCGCGGATTTCTGAATTTCGCTTTGTAAAGGCTGGATCGGGTCAAATGTCTTCTTCAAATAAATAATTATATGTAGTCTACTGTCTGCCAAATATGAGCCGGACATTTGGTTGTTAACCTCTATTGTACAGTATTATATATTTTTGCTACTTTTTATTTCTTAAACGATGATTGTGAATGAGGATAAGTGGCGGGAGCAGGACACGTCCCGCAGCTGGGAGGATTCTCGTAAAATACGACTTTTCTCCGAAACTTCCCCCTCTAGTACGAACCCTTCAACATGTAACTTCTTCACTTTTTCCCATTTCCCCGAGAAACGCCTTCCAGGGGAATGTGGGGGGTACGGTGGGGTGATGGGTATACAGCGCACCACCATACAGCGCAACACGTCCCATCGGAAAGAAACAAGAAAAATCGAGTGAGTCAACGACCAGAAACATCCTTCTGAGGATACGATCCCTCCATTCAACGACCAAAACAGCCCCCTCTTGGAGATCTCCAAAGTACATACGACGTACTCTCAGATGTAACTCTTAGAAATCCTCAAAATCACTGAGTCATGCTTATTGAAAAGAACTTAGTCACTCAGTTCACTCGCACAACCAATCTTGTCAGCACCCATCAGCCTATTCTGCTACTTTGTCCTTTGATGACCTCATTCCGCAGTTTTAAAGTATAGTGGCTCCTGTACCTTTACGCCTTCAATATACGAAGCAGTTCGGCGACGAGATGGGTCATTTTGCACTTCCTATCCTTCCCATTCGAGTCTTCAAGTAGAGATTTGGGGGGAGTTCGGCGACGGGGGGGGGGCATTTTGCACTTTCGTTGCTTCACTAGTTCCGGTTTACAAGTCTCACTCTGGTGAAACCTGTGAACTCTTGTGAAGCTGGAGCAAGCTCGATCAAGCCACCATGGTAAAATCTGCGAACTACTGTAAACTCATGAAATAGCTCTCTAGATACGTCGATACATCGATGGGAAGTAGCAAAAATGCAAAATGCCCCCCCACCGCAACCGACCTGCGTCGAGAAATCTTGTGAATTCACTGAGTGGTACCAGTCTAATTTTGTATAAACTTCTTGCCATTCTTGCAAAGCATTGAACTCTACGGGAAGCAGCGAGAGTGCAAAATGCATCCCATTCTGCCCCCTCCAAGCCAAACGGCGCCGAATGTGTATACCATGGCTTTGGCAGTTTTTTCTCGTTCTGTATAAATGTCTTAAAATAAATCGGTATGTTGTGCTGTTACGGAGTCTCATTTGTCTGAATGTTTTGTTCCAAAAACAGCGTGACAATTCGAACGTCTACTTCAAAAAACTGAAATAAAATAAGTTTTTTGAACCAAACGTTTGGAGTATCACACTATTTTTGGAATATTCAGACTTAAAATACGTTATCACCTGAGGCCGAATCAGCTGGCTAGTGTCCACCTCCCCCCTAGCATATCACTGCCCGTTCTCCATCCTATGTTCTCAGGTTTCTAAGGCTTTTTGGATAACTTTGCTACCTACTTTCCCAATCAATCTATTAACTTTAGCCAGCATCACTCTAGACCTTTAAATCCTATCGGGCTGGCTAAATTAGAATCGCTGGTTCCACAGATGAACAAGGAAGTCCATTCTCGTTATGGGTTCCGTTCTTTAAGTGGGCATGTTTCTTGATGTGAAATGTCAACTGTGTTCGCGTTCGTTTTCTCGGCGGTCCACGCTGCCCACATCCACTTGTCGTCGCTTCAGTTGCTGAGAGTCGTCACACCCCGTCATCATGATTGAAGTACATAAGTGTGCTCGATTACGGACAGCTGCCAATTACAGGCTCTAATGGCCTAATGACGTTGCTAACGGCACTTCGTATTATCTGAATCAGTAGCCTGAGCCATAATAGCCTCCCGAAGCAGTCATCTCACACCTCATCCCAGTGTAACTTTCACATCATCAACATGTAATCAGAAAGCGATAATTGGTGGCCCGATGACAACAGCAGTGGTTTCTTCCCAGGCACTTCCGTCGTGTTCTTCGTTCCCTTCGGTCGTCGTGTGATTTGTTTTCGAACTGATTACGGCTCTTGCGACTAATCTGCCAATTTCAGATGGACCTGTCGCTTTTGCCTGAAGAAGTGCTTGTCAATGTGCTTCGACAGACGTCTCCGACCACAGTCATCACCGCAAAACGGCTCAATAAGAAACTGCACAGAATCGTCGAACGCAATCATCTGGCCAAACCTCGTGTCGACGACTTCAAGTTGGTGGTTAAGACGTCTTTTGCCTGATCATGAAGATGATTGGACGAGTTTTAGCGTTGAAATGCGAACATTCCACGGACGAACACGTCCCATCGGAAAGTTACAACTGAAGAACAATGGAGGAGGTACGGTACATCGTCGATTGGTGGTGACAATGAAACGAAAGAACAAAAGTCGTCAAGTGGTCGAAGAAGGTGTTGAGGGACCGAGTAACTCGTCCGGAACGCAACTTATTGCCGAAGAAATGAAAAAGGTAAAAGCGGTTTTGATGCTTGATTACCTAAATGAAATGGCTTGTTATAGGTGTTGCTTTACGAGAGATTGTCATTCGATGGCGTCACTGCTGATACTGAATTCATGAATATGCTCACAGCGAAGTGGAACGACTTGAAGTGAGTATTGAGGCTATCCTTCTCCGCTAGTCGAGTCAGAATGAAGGCCAATTATCTGTGATCGGCCCACAGCAAGTGCAGTTTCCTTGGCAATATATTATTTGCGGGGGGGGGGAGAAGAGAAGGCGAGAACTTACACAAATAGCAGTGAGCTTAAAGAACCCTCAACTCCCCTTACCATGGTGGGGTATTTGGCGCGTCAGCGGCAAGCTTACATTGATGAAACACGGCGTGGTTGAAGAACTCCCTACGACAGTGGTCGCTTTAGAATCGCCGCGAAGGGGGGAGGTTAGGTGCATGGGTTGCTACATGGTCCGAACCTGATCTTATCCTATAAGAAGGGTGATTCTCCTACCTTGGGGCGAAAGTGCAGGGGAGTGAGAGGGGGAACGATTTTGTCGTTTCTATCGTTCTCACCGGGTGTACTGAATGTGTTCCTATCGTCAAAGCAAGTCGTACGTTAGATGTCCTCAACGAGAGGTGACGAAATGGATCGCTGAAGGTGCGGGAGAGGGAGATGTGTGGTGCGTAGTATTTGCCCTTGAGAAAAGGTTTCCGGTTGCCTACATTTCCTGGTTTTTCTGTTTTCTCT